GGCTGGGGACTCGAACCCGCCACCTTAGGTGTACGTGGCTGGCGCCTTAGCCGGTTGAGCTATAGGTGCCGAGCCCAGGCTATTTTTTTTTTTGTTGCAGTCTGGCTGGGCCGGGTTAGAACCCGCCACCCTTGGTATATGGGGCCGGTGCACTACCCACTGAGCCACAGGTGCCGCCCATCTAATCTTTTATATTATCTATTTAGTGAACTGATCATGTGTCATTTGACTTTGGTCACTTTGTATAGTGTCCAGAATTACTTTCGACTTTTTGATTTGGCTAAAAGAAAAGCTATGGTGTTAGAAATGTTAAGGATGTATGTTGGAGTAGTTTACCCCTGTATAATTTGTAAATGAATGCATTTGTGGTTTTTTGGGTTTTTTTCCCCTGGTAGAGTGCTGTGACTATCATAGCTCACAATAACCTCAAACTCCTGGGCTCAGGAGATTGTCCTGCCTCAGCCTCCCCAGTAGCTGGGATTACAGGCGCCTACCAGTATGCCTGGCTATTTTTAGAGCTGAGGTCTCACTCTGGCTTGGGCTGGTCTCGAACTGTGAGTTTAGGCAATCCACCTGCCTCGGCCTTCCAGAGTTCTAGGATTACAGGCGTGAGCCACTGCGTTTGGCCTGAGTGCATTCTGTTTTTGAGAGTAAATACTGTATTTTGTGGTATAAACTCAAGCTTTTAGCTGAAAGAATTGGCAGCAGAGTTATTGTGTGGACTGTTCTTACAATACAAATGTTTTACATTACAAGGAACTGCAGTAGTGTGTAGGCTGTAAGAATTCATGGTGCCAGACTTGAAAGGTTATTTGATTGAGGTGCTCCCTATAAAGAAACATGTTAAGTATATCTGCAGTAAAAGCTAATGTGTAGCTATACCCAAGATATTTTGTGTGATAAATAATAACACAACACGACACCATTGCTCTTTGTGTATCTGCCAGTTAAGACCAAAACATCTGATATTTTTATTGGAGTTTTTTGCCAGGACAAATACTGGTTTTGCATTGACTTTGCTGCTCAGTGTGAAAGTTAGGTTTCAGTTTTATGTTTACATCTTAAGTATACATTATAAAAAAAGAAAGCTGCTGAATCAGTGTCAGGTTGTTTCATTTAGTCTTTCTGATTTGCATATTGGGATTTCTGTCATAATTTGAATTTCCGATATAATATGCTTGCTGAAGCTTAGATAATAAGGGCAAAGAAACTTTCATAATACATGAATTAAAATGCTATCTACTCAGCGGTGGGTCATGCCTGTAATCCTAGCACTCTGGGAGGTTAAGACCAGTGGATTGCTTGAGCTCAGGAGTTCAAGACTAGCATAGGCAACAGTGAGATCCCGTCTTACTAAAATAGAAAAACTAGCTGGGCATTGTGGTGGGAGCCTGTATTCCCAGCTACTACGGAGGCTGAGTCAAGAGGATCTTTTGAGCCCAATTTCAATTTAGTTCTCAATTCAATACTACACTATAGTAGCTCTAAAGATCCATTGCAAAGGAAGTAGTTCAAGGAAAGTTAACTTTTTGGGGCAGTGCCTGTGGCTCAGTAGGTAGGGCTGTGGCCCCATATACCGAGGGTGGCAGGTTCAAACCTGGTCCTGGCCAAACTGCAACAACAAAAAAATAGCCAGGTGTTATGGAGGGCGACTGTAGTCCCAGCTACTTGGGAGGCTGAGACAAGAGAATTGGCTAAGCTCAGGAGTTGGAGGTTGCTGTGTGAGCTGTGATGCCATGGCATTCTACTGAGGGTGATAAAGTGAAACTATGTCTCTAAAAAAAAAGAAACTTAACTTTTTAAAAAAAAGAAACTTAACTTTTTCAGAAGTTTAGAAGTAATTTGGCATAGACCATCTTATTACCAAAATAATTTCTTTTGGTAATTACTAGTGCAATTACTAGTGTAATTACTTTGTTACACTAGTATAACAGGATTAAAGAAAGATGTAAATGTTCCATATGTGGGAATAACTAAAAATTTTTAAAATACAGTTTTGTGATTGTGTATAAGTCTGTGGTTAATATTCATATAATTGTCTTTAAACTTGACGTTTTCCCTGGTGCTGCATATTGCTCTTACTTTATGGCTTTTTAGTAGTCCAAGGTTTTACTGCCTCCGTTAAATAATGCTATAATGAAATCATTTTGGTAATATGATGGTTCATGCCAGATTACATTTTGAACTTTTGACAAAGTTAACTTTCTTTGAACTACTTCCTTTGCAGTGGATCTTTAGAGCTTGAGGTTGCTGTGAGCTGTGATGCATGGCACTCTACTGAGGATGACATAGTGAGACTGTCTCAAAAAAAAAAAAAAAAAAAGAAAAGAGTGCATCTAGTTTTTTAAGACACTTCCAAGCTGTTATCCAAAGTAGACCAGCAATGAATGAGAATTCTTGT